CTATCCAGTTTTCCCAGCACCATTTATTGAATCAAGATTCTTTCCCCTAGTGTATATTTTTGTCTGCTTTGCCAAAGATTAGTGGGTTCTCTGTTCTATTCCACTGGTCAATGTCCCTGTTCTTGTGCCAATGCAAAGCTGTTTTAATTACTGTAGCCTTGTCGTTTAGTTTGAAATCTCATAAATTGATACCTCCTATTTTGTTTTTATTGCCTAGCAGTGATTTTGCTATACAGGGTCTTCTCTGGTTCCATACGAAGTGTAAAATTATTTTTTCTATATCTGTGAAAAATGATGATGGTATTTTAATAGGGATTGCATTGACTCTGTAGGTTACTTTGTGTAGTATATAGACATTTTAACAATGTTGATTCTGCCAACCCATGAGCATAGTATATTCTGCCACCTGTTTACATTCTCTGCTATTTCTTTCTTCAGTGTTTCATAGTTCTCCTTGTGGAGGTCTTTTACCTCCTTAGTTAAATATATTTCTAGATACTTTGTTTTCTTTTTTTTTTTTTTTTTTTTTGAGACAGAGTCTCGCTTTGTTGTCCAGGCTAGAGTGAGTGCCGTGGCGTCAGCCTAGCTCACAGCAACCTCAAACTCCTGGGCTCAAGAGATCCTCCTGCCTCAGCCTCCCGAGTAGCTGGGACTACAGGCATGCACCACCATGCCCGGCTAATTTTTTATATATATATCAGTTGGCCAATTAATTTCTTTCTATTTATAGTAGAGACGGGGTCTCGCTCAGGCTGGTTTTGAACTCCTGACCTTGAGCAATCCGCCCGCCTCGGCCTCCCAAGAGCTAGGATTACAGGCGTGAGCCACAGCGCCCGGCCTAGATACTTTATTTTCTTTGTTGCTATTTTGAAGGGAATTGAGTCTTTCATTTGGTTCTCACTTGTACTGTTGTTGGCATATGTGAATGTCTGATTTCTGTGTATTGATTTTGTATCCTGAGACTTTACCAAATTCATATATCAGATCAAGGAGTCTTTGGGTTGAATCCTTGGGATTTTCTAGGTATAATATCATGTTCAGCAAAGAGTGAGAGTTTGATCTCTTCTGCTCCCATTTGGATGCCCTTAACTCAGCTATCTTGTCTGATTGCTGGAAGCTAGGACTTCCAGCACTATGTTGAATAGAAGTGGAGATAGTGGGCAACCTTGTCTTGTTCCTGTTCTAAGTGGGAATGCTTTCAGTTTTTCCCCATTCAGTATGATACTGGCTGTGGGTTTGTCATATATGGCTTGTATCATTTTTAGGTGAGCCCCGTCTATGCCTATTTTGTTGAGCGTTCTTGTCATAAAAGGGTGTTGAATTTTGTCAAATGCTTTTTCTGCGTCTATTGAGAGGATCATATGGTCTTTGTTTTTGCTTCTGTTTATATGGTGAATTACATTTATAGATTTGCATATGTTGAACCATCCCTGCATCCCTGGGATGAAGCCCACTTGGTTGTGATGGATTATTTTCTTGAGAAATACCTAGATTCGATTGGCTAGGATTTTGTTGAGAATTTTTGCATCTATATTCATAAGGGGTATTGGTCTGTATTTTTCTTTGTTTGTTGCATCCTTTCCTGGTTTTGGTATCAGGGTTATGTTCGCTTCATAAAATGTGTTGGGGAGAATTCCATCCTTCTTGATGTTGTGGAATAATTTCTGCAGGATAGGCACCAGTTCTTCTTTGTAGGTGTGGTAAAATTCAGGTGTGAAACCATCTGGTCCAGGGCTTTTCTTTTCAGGAAGGTTTTTTAATTGTTGTTTCAATTTTAGTACTTGATATTGGTCTGTTCAGGAATTCTATTTCTTCTTGGTTGAGCCTAGGGAGGCTGTGTGTTTCTAAGAAATTGTCCATTTCCTCCACATTTTCCAGTTTGTGTGCATAGAGATTTTTGTAGTATTCATGAATTATATCTTGTATCTCTATGGCATCAGTTGTAATTTCTCCTTTATTGTTCCTGATGGAGCTGATTGGAGATTTTTCTTTTCTGCTTTTTGTTAGTCTAGCCAGTGGTGTGTCAATTTTGTTTATTTTTTCAAAGAACTAACTTTTTGTTTTATTAATCTTCCGTATAGTTCCCTGTTGTTGATTTCATTTAGTTCTGATTTGATCTTAATGATTTCACGTCTTCTGCTGGGTTTGGGATCGGTCTGTTCTTTTTTTTCCCAGCTCTTTGAGATGATTCATTAGGTTGTGTATTTGTGATCTTTTTGACTTTTGGATATAGGCATTTATGGAAATAAACTTTCCTCTCAGGGCTGCTTTAGCTTTGTCCCACAGGTTTTGGTAACTTGTGTCACCTTTGTCATTTAGTTGAAAGAATGTCTTGATTTCCATCTTGATTTCCTCATTGATGAAGTGATCATTCAGCAGAAGGTTGTTTAGTTTCCATGACTTTGTGTAGAAATGAGAACTCCTGTTAGGATTGATTTCTACATTTATTGTATTGTGGTCTGAAAAGATACATGGTATAATTTTTATTTTTTTAAATTGTTTGAGACGTGCTTTGTGTCCTAGGATACATATGGTCAATCTTAGAGAATGACCCATGAGCTGATGAGAAGAATGTATTTTCAGTGCTTTTGAGGTAGAATGTCCTGTAAATGTCAGTCAGGCCCATTTGTTCTAGAGTTCTGTTTAAGTCGTTATTTCTTTATTGATTTTCTGTTTGGAGGATCTGTCCTGTGCTGTCAGTGGAGTGTTAAATTCTCCGACTATTATGTTGTTGTTGTTTATCCATTTGTTTAGATCCAGTAGAGTTTGATTTATGAATCTGGGTGCACCAAGGTTGCGTGCATATATATTTAGAATTGTTATGTCTTCTTGTTGAACTGTACTCTTCACCATTATATGGTGACCTTCTTTGTCTTTTATTACTTTTGTTGATTTAAAAACTAAGTTATCTGTAATCAACACCGCCAGGCCAGCTTTCTTTTGGCTTTCGTTTGCTTGAAATTTCGTTCTCCACCCCTTTACCTTAGTCCAATTGCATCCTTGCAGGTTAGATGTGTTTCCTGAAGGCAGCAGATACTTGGCTTATGTTTTTTTATTCATCAGCCACCCTATGTCTCTTGAGTGGGGAGTTCAAGTCATTCACATTTATTGAGATAACTGATAGGTGGGGCAGATTTCTGTTGGTTATGTTGGGTTGAACTTTGTTGCTTTGTTTTCTCTCTTGAGCCATTGTGGTATCTGGGCTTTGATCTTTAGCTTTGAGTAGATTTACATTCATGAGTGTTTATTGTGCTGATTCGTGGGTAACATTCTTTTGAGTACTTCTTGAAGGGCTGGTCTTGTCTTGGTGAATTCCCTCAGTCTTTGCTTATCTGAGAATGTCTTGATTTCACCTTCATATAGAAAACTTAGTTTTGCAGGGAATAAGATTGTAGGCTGGGCATTGTTCTGTTTCAGAAGAGTGAGAATGGGGCCCCAGTCTCTCCTTGCTTACAAAGTTTCAGTAGAGAAGTCTGGCGTTATTTGGATTGGCTTTCCTTTGTATGTTACTTGCTTCTTTCATCTTACAGCTCTTAGAAGGGCCTCTTTAGTTGATGTTTTGTTCAGTCAGTTGAGTGCATGTGGTGATATCTTCCTGTTTGTATTGAATCTCCCAGGGTCCTTTGAGCTTCTTAAACTTGTATCTGGAGATTTTTAGGAAGGCCTGGGAAATTTTCCTCTATTATATCTTCAAATAGCTTGTCCAACCCTTGAGTGTTTTTTTCTTCCCCTTCTGGTAACCCTGTGACTGTCACATTAGGTTTCTTCACATAATCCCACATGTCTTGTAGGCTTTTCTCTGCTTCATAGCATGGAAAATTGCCCTTGTTAAGTTGAGCTAATTAACGCACAACATGGCACAAAAATACTAAGTTCAATGGGCACCTTTCAGTTCTTCCTTGACTTCTTTGCCAGTAAATGCTATTTAATTACACCTTCAAACTTTTCTTTGCTATGTTCCTTTGAATCATTACCTTCTGGTTAGTTTTTGGCCTCTCTTTCTTGGTCTTCTCTTCTTCCTCCTGCATCTTGAGTAGATTTCTGACCTAGCAGTTTGTACATACCTTCATTATAATAATCATTTTAAAATAGATTATTTTCTCAGTAAAATATTATCTTTTTGCAGGCAGAAACATTAGTAGTTTTATTGCTATTTCCCCAGCATCTAGCCTAGTACTTGACACAAATGTATCTAATAAATGTTTGTTTAATGAATATAAATACTACTAATGGTTTTTAGCTTTCTTCTATTAAAGGAAATCAGATACCAGTTTTATTAGCTTGCTTATTTATTTGTTTATTTATTTTAGACAGAGTCTTGCTCTGTTGCCAGTGCTAAGTACTGTGGTGTCAGTCTATCTCACAGCAACCTCAAACTCCTGGGCTCAAGCAATCCTTCTGCCTCAGCCTTCTGAGAGAGAGCGCCGAATCCTAACCACTAGACCACCAGGGAGTGATTCAGCCTTCTGAGTAGCTGGGACTATAGGCATGCGCCACCATAGCCAGCTATTTTTTTTTTTTTCAATATATATTTTTTAGTTGTCTGACTAATTTCTTTCTATTTTTAGTAGAGATGGGGTCTCACTGTTGCTTAGGCTGGTCTCAAACACCTGACCTCTAGAGATCCCCCTGCCTCAGCCTTTAGCTTTATCTTGTACATTGCAGGAATTAGCTGTATCAGTGTTCAACTTTTTGTGTATTTATTCACAAGTTGTTAGAGTCCTGATTGAACGTGTAAAGTTCTCAAGACTCTGATCGCTGTTTCCCACATTCTGAGTTTCTATGACCTCTGACCCTTGTTGTTTTAGAGGCAATTATAATATTCCTGTAGGAAAAGGAGAGGAAGCATCCTTCCATTATTCATGGCTTCTGGATTGATTCTAAGATTCTCTTATGATTCTTTATACCATTCCAGAAACATACTTATGCTGCTGCAGACAGGCAAGGGGTGTATTTTAGTTTCAAAGTGTTATAAGGAGTATTTCTGATGTCTCTGATAGTTGGTGTGGATGACTACAGCTCAGAGTCTGATGTGATTATTATACCTTCAGCCCTGGACTTTGTCTCACAAGATGAAATGTTGACGCCACTGGGGAGATTGGACAAGTATGCTGCAAGTGAGAACGTTTTTAACAGGTATGTGTATATTTTTTTCATTAAAGTGGAAGTAGAAGGGTGGTTTTTTAAATTTCAATAGGAAACATAAAATTAACCAGTTTGAAATATGTATTAACATGCATAATCTGAGTAATCAAGTTTTATTAATAATCAAAGCATGATCTGTTTTTTTAGTTGTTTATTCCTTAATCCTAGTAAACATACAGGATTCTTTCTTTGCTTTTTGGCAAAATAATACCATTGCATTTTTGCCATTAGGCATAATTTTGGTATTCGTGTAAGTTGCTTGTTGGGGAATATGTTCCTTGGACAGATAGATGGTATTGTATTCTTACTGTGTGCCAGCTGATGCTCAAGGGCATTGGGGCACAGTGGTGACCCAGCTCTAGCTCTCTTCATACTGCAGTGTCTCTCCATCTGTTGTCCCCAGACCACCTATATCAGACTTTTCTGGGAAATCAAAAAGTCTTTGTTCAAATTTTTTCAGTATAGGTATATAAAACTCATGCCAATAAAATATGTAAATGTATAATATGTAAATGTATAATGAGGAATATGTTTTTCCATTATGATAATTGATGGATGACTGAATTTTCACTGATGTTATAAATTTGTCAAATCAGTTAATAAAGATAAGAAAATATATGTTGGTAAATATTTAATGTTGTTAAAATCAATACTGGCATTTGCCACTTAAGAAATTGCATGCTTAATATATGTTTTATTAATGTAATAAGGGAAAATTTTATTAAAAACTATATGGAGTTTGTCTTTTAAAGTTCTAGATATTAACTATTTGATTTTATTTTTCTGTATAGACAAATGGTGGCCCGGAGTTTGCTGGATACATTGAGGGAAGTCTGCGATGATGAAAGGGATTGTATTGCTGTTTTGGAAAGAATTAGCAGATTGGCTGAAGATTCAGGTATATGTTTATGCAGAGAAAGTGAATTTACCCTATTTCTAGGAAGATTTTTAAATCAAATATGTGTTTCTAAAAACTAATGAAAAAGTTAATGTGATATGAGATTTCTTTAAAAGATTTCCTAAGTAACAAATTCATCAGTAACAACAAAATAAAATCTGTTACCAAGATCTGAACATTTTATAATAGGCTCATTTGGTTTAATTTTGAAAAGTTTTCATCAAAGCAAATGTAAGAACATTATTTTGTATCATGCATTTTATTTTAGGATGAATAATAAATTTAAAAAATAATTTAGAATAAATTAGAAGAGATGGAGGGGGCTATAAATGTAATGTGCTTTTTTTCTCTGTGTGCTTGTTCACTTGCAATGAAAGTCAGTTATCCATTTGTAAAACTAAACCTGATTTATTTCTAAAGTGAAGATAAGAGGGTCTGCTTAAGAAAGAGGTAAACTTATGTGAGGCCTAGAAAATGGTGATGTTAAAGTTTTCATAAATATATCTTTTCTTGTGGTAAACTATATATTACAAAACTTGCCATTTTAAGCTAATATTAAATTTTAAGCAGACTTTTATACTTGATTTTAGAAAAAATCCAAAAATAAATTTTAAAAAACCTTTTTCTTAAATCCATTATGTCTTTATTAAAATATATTTTCAATCTCTGATAAACTTCTTAGCATGTCAGGAAGTCTCATCTTCTAATTTTTAGATGAGTTTCCTCTTTTGGTAAACAATTTTATGGGACTAAGTTAACTGTTTACATAAGCCTTATGTATTTTAAATTTTCTTACGGGATGAACATAACTTCTGTAAGCTTAACTAATAATCTGTCTTTGCTTATGTATATGTGGTTGTTCTAGAATGGTTTTAGGAGGGTCTCATGAAATTTAATTTTTACTTATTTTTTTATTTAATATACATTAAATAATCATTTAACTTACATTTGTGGCACTGTAACAGCCTATTTTGGTTGTACCTTCTTAGTAGAGACAGATACTCTTTAAGGAAAATTTGTATTTTTTTTAACCTGTTTACCAACTCTAGTGTTGTTTCTTATAAATATATATGTATGTGTGTATATCTGTTTTAAATATGTTCTCAAGTTTGTAAGTTTGTGATAAATATTTTTATTGATATTTATACTTTCCATTCATTCAGTATACATAAAACAGTACATAATTTATGCCAAGTTCTAGATTTAATGCTAGAACAGTTATTAAGATAAGTAAGAATTTCTGTCATTGAACTAACAGTTTAGTGACTGTAACCAACATATAAACAATAAATTATAATGGGGACAAATTGGGCTGGCTTCAGAAAGTTAGTGACATTTGAGTTGGATTTGGTAGAATGGTGAGGTGCAGAGAGGAGAAAGGGCATACTCAGGAGAGGAAAAGGTAGGTTTGGAGGCCTGAGGAGTTCAAGGGGGTGGCCCGTTTGGTCAAGAACGAGGCCAACCTGACAACTACACTAAGCTGCTGAGTCTCCAGCTTAGAAAAACGTGGCTGTTAAACAAGGTATGTGAGGGCTAGATTGTAAAGGTTTATAATGTGCCATGCTAAACAGTTTACCTTTCTTGTGATTTAGAATAATAATGCATCAGTATGAACTGACTTGATGAAAAAGATAGGTGAAAGGAAGACTAATTGGGAGACTCTACTAATTGTTAATAAGGATGAGTTGTTTGAGAGAAATTGAACTGCTGCAAGGGATTCCAGAGCTAACCTCTGGATAGAGTGAGGGAGAGAGAGGAATTGACCCTGACGTTTCTAACTGGGTAGGTAGGCTGGGCTGGTTGTGATGTCCAAGTGAGATAAAACCTGGTGAATAATAGATAACCCTGAAGTGAGTGAATAGATCCATCCTCCTAAACAAAGCAGCAGTTTAGAATCTTTAAATCTTTCTTACACCTTATCTTCATCAGCTTTTATCTTGATATTTTTATTATTCCCCTAACTTTATCATCCACTTTTATTTTATATAGTAAATACTTGTTTAGATTTAATACTAAATTTGCCAGGTTTTTTCCCTCCTCAACACATCTTTTATCCTACTCTTGGTTCAGTTTCTTCTGAGAGGACATCTGTGGACAAGGATATAGCAGTATTATATCCTTTTTCCTTTGTCTGAAATGTTTTTATTTCACCATTACGCTTAATTGATCATATAGCAAAGTGTAGAAATCTAATTGATAGTTTCAATATTATTCTATTTCTTCTTGCTATTATTATTCCTTTTTTTTTTTTTTTTTAAAGATGGGGTCTTGTTGGCCGTGCACAGTGGCTCACGCACTAATCCTAGCACTCTGGGAGATGGAGGTGGTCGGGTCGCTCAAGGTCCAGAGTTCGAGACCAGCCAAGCGTGAGACCCTGTGTCTACTAAAAATAGAAAGAAATTAATTGGCCAACTAAAAATATATAGAAAAAATCAGCCAGGCATGGTGGCGCATGCCTGTAGTCCCAGCTACTTAGGAGGCTGAGGCAAAAGGATTGCTTGAACCCAGGAGTTGGAGGTTGCTGTGAGCTAGGCTAACGCAAGGGCACTCTATCCCAGGCAACAGAGTGAGACTCTGTCTGAAAAAAAAAAAAAAAGATGAGGTCTTGCTCTCTTGCCTGGGCAGGCATGCAGTGGTGTCGTCATAACTTACTGCACCTCTTGGGCTAAAGTGTTCCTTGTGCCTCAGCCTCCTGAGGAGCTTGGACTACAGGTGTGCACCACCACACCGGCTTATTTTTCTTTTTTTAAAATTTTTGGCAGAGGGTGTTTTGCTATGTTGCTTAAGCTGGTCTCAAACTCCCAGGCTTAAGCTATCCTCCCACCTTGGTCTTCCAAAGTGCTATAATAGCATTACAGGTGTGAGCCACTGTTCCCAGCTATTGTTACTATTGAGAAGTCTGCTAGTCTAATTTTGCCTTTGCCTTTCTCTTCCTGATTGCTTTTTAAATTTCCTTTCCTTAATGTTGTAGAGTTTCACTGTGTTGTATTTAGGTACAATTTTTTGTTGTTGTTTATTCTACTCAGGATGTTCCCTGCTTCTTGAGTTTGAGGATTATTCTTATCTTTCCATTAGATATGGGAAATTTCATCTTTTAATATTTGAATATTGCTTCTCCTTTATCTTAAAATCCTTTTATTAAAAGTTGTTTTGTTTGAATAGACATATTTTACGTGGTTGAGAATATAGAACTCTTATTAGGTAAAAGTATATTGTATTTTTCTGTGGATTTTAACTGTTCTTATTTTTCAGTTATTTATCTCCTTTTGCTAATTTCTATCAGCAAAGTATTTGCTACTGAAGTCTAACCTTTCATCTGACTGTTCAATTTTTCATTGCCGTTAACTCCATTTTTCATTTTCAGGAGTCTCAGGTGCTTTATTTTCAGATCTTGTTTTTCTTTCCCTATTCTCATATTCTTTTCAGTTGCTTTTCATTTTTTATATCTTTAAAACAGAATGTTTAAAAAAAAACAGAATGTTTAAAATGATTGAAACCTCTAAAAGATTATTTATAATAGTTAATCTTTCCATTGGATCTTAATCTTTTGGCTACTGAAGGATAATTTTCTTGTCTTTTTTTATAGATTTGGATTGTGAGTTCCTCTTTAGTGAGTCTTCATGGGAATTTGGTGTTTGATTTATCTTTCATTGTGGGACATTCCCACAGTGTTTTTATCTACCAGGCTCAGGGTTGCAGGCTCCTAGATAACAACTAGGACTAATTTTATGTTGATTTCATGTGTGTATATTAGATGTGTATGTATGTGTTTTTATTACGTTTATTTTCTATGCCTGGATGTGTATATTTGGAATTCAAACAAGTTAAAAATTTATGACCAAACTTAGAAATAACATATTTGAAGCAGTTTTAAAAAAATTCTTTTCTTATTGAATATAGTGCATTGCAAAAAACCTGAACTATAATGTACAGCTCCAGGAAGTTTCACAAAGTGAAGGCTCGAGTAGTTAGTATTCAGATGAAGAAATAGAACTAGCATCCCAGAAACCATCTCAGTGCACCTCCTAATTTCTGTCCTATCCCTCTTCCCCATAGGTAAGCCCATTTTGATCACTAAAAGTGCAGATTAGGTTGCCCATCTGAACTTTATATAAAATCATACTGAATGTACTCTTATGCTGGCTTCTTTATATTTCTGAAGTTCATCCATGTTGTTGAATGTAACTGTGTTAATTGATTGATTTTACTCATAGTCTGTTACATGAATCTATTGTTCTGTTATTGGATACTAGGACTGCTTTTAACTTTAGGCTATTAATGCTGATGTGAGCCAAGGAGTCACGTAGAGCACAGGTGCACACACTTCTGTGGGTATATACTTAGAAGTGGAGTCACTAGGTTATAGGGTATACATAGATTTATCTTTAATAGATATGTCATAGAGTTTTTCAAAGTGATGTAGCAATTTCCTTCAGCAGTGTATCAGAGTTCCTGTTGTTTCAAATATTCACCAGCACTTGCTTATTTTAAATTTTGCCAAAGGGGAGTGGATGAGTGTGTAGTGGTATCTGTCTCTGGTTTTAATTTACATTTCCTCTATTACCAATGAAGTTGAGTACCTGGTTATGTGCTTATTAGCTGTTTGGGTATCTTTTTTGAAATGTCTGTTCAAGTCTTGGCAGTCTTTTTTTTTTTACAGATTTGCAGGAATTCTTTATTCTGGATATGAGCCTGATGTCGTTTATGGGCATGAAAGGTATCTTTTCCACTCTGTGGCTTGTCTTTTCACTTTGATAATGGTGCTGCTTTAAAGAAGAGACATTCTTGTCTTTTATGGGTAGTGCTGTTTGTGTCTTCTGAGGAATTTTTCCCTACCTTGAAGTCATAAATATTTTTCTTATATTCTCTAATTTTAGAAGCTTTATTGTTTTTGCCTTTGACATTTAGATCTGTATTCTACCTGGAATGTATTCATGTGTATGTTATGAAGTAGGAGACAAGTTTCTTTTTCTTTTTTCTTTTTTTTGTGGGGGGACAGGATCTTGCTCTGTCACTCGGGTTAGAGTGCAGTGGCATCATCATAGCTCACTGCAGCCTCCACCTCCTGGGCTCATGCAATTCTCCTGCCTCAGCCTCCCGAGCAGCTGGAACTACAGGTGCACACCACCATTCCCAGCTAATTTTTCTATTTTTTTGTAGAGATGAGGTCTCGCTGTTGACCAGGCTGGTCTTGAACTGCTGGCCTCAAGCAATCCTCCTACCTCAGCCTCCCAAAGTGCTAGGATTACAGGCATGAGCCACTGCACCTGGCCTCTTTTTTTTTCTTTTAATGTGAGTAGCCAGTTGATACAGCACCATTTATTGAGAAGACCATCTTTTCCTGTTTACCTTTTCATAAATCAGTTCTCTACATGTGCATGGGTCTATTTCTGGAGTCCATTTTTGTTCCATTGGACTATTTGATTAAGCAGGATTTTGGAGAAAGAAAAGTTGCTGATTACATTCTTAACTGTAACTATCCTTTTGCTTCAAAAATATCTGTAAGTGATTAAGTTAGTGTTAAATTAACAAATTCAGGAGAAAAATAGAGGCCTGTATGTCTACTTTTTAAGAATTTAGGTTTTCTTAAAAACAGAAGCACTCTATTTTGTTCAAATCTAACTTCCCATGGCACAACAGTATCATAGAAATTGCAAATATTGGTTTGTTGATAAGATTCTGAGCTTTGTAAAAACGCTAATATGTCTTCTACTGATAGCTATATTAATTTCTCTTTGTTGAAATTTGAAATTCCAATGGACACATTCATGCGTAGCTACCTTAAGGTGACTTTAATAATACAATCATTAATAGGTACAAAAGTTCCAGTAATGTCTATTGTAATAACTTATTACAGATAATTCATCCTTTCTGTGTTTCAGTCACTTGGGTGTCCTCTATGAATTGCCCATTTGTATCCTTTTTATTATATTCATGTTCCTTGTATATTTTACTTCCTAATACTTTGTTAAGCATACATCTTCTCTTAGACTCTTTTGCCTTTTAACTGAGTATGATCTCTTATCTGTATTGAAGTTTTTATAAAGTGAAATTAGCTTGTCTTTTAGTTGTTTTTTGGGTTTTGTTTTCCCACTTAAAGATTAAACATTCCTTTTAATGTTATCTTTTAGTGCTTTTGATCTTTTTTTTTTTAAATAAAAGTTTAGAACTTTATTCACCTGGAATTTATGTATTGTGTGCAGTAAGGATCTTTTTTCCGGATAACTAGCTGATTTTCCTATGTTACTTATTGGACAGTTCATCCTTTTGAAACCCAGAGATTTGAAATGCCATATTTCTAACATTTAAATTTTCCATTTACACTTGGGTCTTTCAAAGTTGTTTTTTAAATCTGTCTCCTTTGATACTCATTTATCCTCTTTTAATCTTTGCTAAGTTAATTATAAATCTTTAATTCATTGACTGAACTAAGATTAGAAGCCAGATCTGATGACTTGAACTAGGAGGTTCTTAAATAGTGGAGTTCATAGATCATATCATATCATAATATTGATGAAAATATCAGATATTTAACTACTAGCACCATGTGACATAATGTAGGTGGTAAATAATTCATTTATTATAAGAGATACTTACATACTCAATGTATACTATAAACAACAGAAGCTTGGGTTGGGGGTTAAGGTCCTACTTTTACTCATGGGATTGACCTGTGTATGGCTGTGAAAAGAATTGCACAGAGAATGTTTTTGTAAGTCTTTTTTGTGCTGAAGATGAAAGTCCCAAGCCTGCTTAGGTAGTGTGAAGCCTAGATAAAGATTTTGTTACTGTGGGAGAATATGTTTGCTCACATTGCTGTTATTTCAATAGAACCAACTGTGAGAGCGGAACTGATGGAACAGGTGCCTCATATTGCATTGTTTTGTCAAGAAAACCGGCCTTCAATACCATATGCTTTTTCCAAATACTTGCTACCTATTGTGGTTAGATATCTTGCAGATCAGAATAATCAGGTAAGAGTACCATTTACATGTTCTTAAGGGAAGTTGATGTAGCATAATGTAGCTAGCCTAGGTGGTCTCATTGGAATGTTTTTTCCTCTTTCACTTCATTATTCTGTTTTTCAGAAATGACCATTTGTCTTAGACAAGATGTATTGAGAGTCTGACAAATCTACTAGGTCTCTTTAATGTCATTATAGTCAGTGCCTAGTAACTGCATTTGCACTTATACTTGTACTAGGTGTCCCTCAAAATATTTGTTACTTTGTGAGATATCTTTTACAAGGATGGCTTTTGTGTTCTACTTCATGTATTATAACACAGCCTATGAAGTTCTGTCTTTGTAATAATTGAAAAACCCACAAGTATTTGTTTTCAGATTTTGCCAGTTTTGGGTCCCTTTGAGATGAGAAGTCTTCAAGTTCGTAAAAATCAAGTGATTTATTATATTATATTATTATTTATTATATTACATATTATCATATATTATATCATATTATTTATAATATACGATAATATGTAATATAATAAATAATATATAATATATAATAATATATTATTATATTATATTATATTATAAATCAAGAGTTTTATTATATTACATATTTACTTTGTTTATATTGTTTTTCTCCTAGGTGAGGAAAACAAGTCAGGCAGCTTTACTGGCTCTGCTGGAGCAGGAACTAATTGAGCGATTTGATGTAGAGACCAAAGTGTGCCCTGTCCTCATAGAGCTGACTGCCCCAGATAGCAATGATGATGTGAAAACAGAAGCTGTGGCTGTAAGTAGAATGCCATTTTTTCATTTAGGCAAAACTTGAATGATAGGAGGTACTCATTAAATATTAAGCTGGTTTATCTCATTTAACACACTTGTATTAAAGTAGCCCCAAATCTTTAAGTTTGAAATGTAATCAGGGCTAGAAAAGGACATGAAGGCTTAAGGGAAAGGCTTAAGGAAAAAAACATGAAGGCTTCTTATTGTGTCTCTTTCACACAAAAAGAAAATAATAAGTAACTATAAATTCATTTATATGTCAGCATGGAAAAATGAAATGGTTATTACCAGTGCAGTTAGAAAAAAAAAAAAAACTGTGTTGAATGAAAAACATTTGAACCCCTTCAGTTGCTATTTACTTTTCTTGGCAGTATAAGTACAAGGAAATAAAAAATAGTACTTGGCTCCTGCCTTTGACAGTATGGTCTTTGGGAGGATAGTCAGGCAAGTAATTTTGTTATGATACATGATGTCAATAATGATTATTAGAAGAATATATAGATTAAGTCTTTATGCACATAATAAAATCAAAATCATATATAATAGTGACTTTCTGGGATTTTTTTACATGATTAGTTAATATTCTGATTATTTGGGAGCAATCATAATTAGGGCATGAATTAGAATGGAGTGATATATGTTATGATTCGCATCTGTGGTTCCTGGGTTCAGATAATAAGAATCTGTTAATAAATTAGAAAAGTGATAAATTCGTCTGAAAATTTATTCAAATCTGTTTGGATAATGAGAGTTCACTATTTAAATCTAAAGTAGTAGTTATATCTTTGTTGATATAAAAAAATTACACCAAAATTATATAGTACTTCCAGATCATCATTAGTGAGATGAATTAGATGATGTCTCTGTAGGGTCTTTTTTCCTTGAAAAATTTCTTGAATCCATTATCTTATTTTTAGATGCTTAGTTATTAGTTAATAAATTTAGATACTTTTTTCAGTAATATTTTTATTAAAGTAAAATTCATATAACATAAAATTAATCATTTTAAAGTATAAAAAGTCAGTGACATTTAGTATAACCACAGTGTTATGCAACCACCACCTCTGCCTAGTTCCAAAACATTTTTTTTTTTATTTCAGGAATTCTTTTTTTTTTTTTTTTTTTTTTAGAAAAAGCCTTACTTTTTCACCCTGGGTAGGGTGCCGGGGTATTAGCCTCAAACTCCTGGGCTCGAGAGATCCTTCTGCCTCAGCCTCCCGAGTAGCTGGGACTACAGGCATGCGCCACCATGCCCGGCTAATTTTTTTATATACATATTAGTTGGCCAATTAATTTCTTTCTATTTATAGTAGAGACGGGGTCTCGCTCTTGCTCAGGCTGGTTTTGAACTCCTGACCTTGAGCAATCCGCCCGCCTCGGCCTCCCAGAGAGCTAGGATTACAGGCGTGAGCCACCGCGCCCGGCTATTTCAGGAATTCTTTAATAAAGGAAATAAGTTTTTGCCTTGACATAATTGTTAGTTTATATTGAGCAGAGTTTAACTTATACTATTAGAATTTTTGATGGGATTTAAAATTGGTAAAACATTATAATGACTATATCCAGCACTAGTAGTAATCTCATGATTCTTACAATTGATTTATGTTTATTTTTATTTTTGTCATGTTTTATATTCCCTGGCTCCCAATTTTTCCTCTATCTTGGGAATAATTCATCTAGTAAATTTAGTTATGCTGCATCAGTGATTCAGTATAACTTTGGATCTTTAACGAGGGCTTGGAGATAGCTTATAGATTCAAAAAATGGGCTGGGCGCAGTGGCCCATCCCTGTAATCCTAGCACTCTGGGAGGCCAAGGTGGGAGGATCGCTTGACATCAGGGGTTCAAGACCAGTCTGAGCAAAAGCAAGTAGAGACTTGCTTTTAGTAGACTAAAATAGAAAATATTTGCCAGGTGTGGTGGCAAGTGCCTATAGTCCTAGCTACTCAGGAAGCTGAAACAGGAGGATTGTTTGAGCCCAGGAGTTTGAGGTTGTGGTAAGCTGTGATGACGCCACTGTACTCTGGCTGGGGTGAGAGAGCGAGACGCTGTCTCAAAAAAACCAAAAAACAAAGAACCCCCAAAACTAGCTTTGGGATATAGGAGATAGGTAGGCATTATCTTTAGTTCTGATTATGCTAGCATTTTGTTGGGGATTGTATTGGGTCTGTCGATCAATTTGGAGAGAATTGCCAGCCTAACAATCCATGAATGAGGTAGACCTCTCCATTTATTTAATTCTTTGATTTATATCATAAGTATTTTATAGTTTTCAGGAGAAAGATCTTATGTATATTTTGTTAGATTTCATGTTTTTTAAAAAACACTATTGTGAATAATCCTGTTTTTAAATGTTTCTAATTGTTTGTTGCTACTTTGTAGAAATACAATAGATTTTTGTATTCTGATACATATCCTACAACCTTCTTAAACTCACTTCTTTGTTCTTGTGGCTTCTTTGTAGATTTCCTTGTGATTTTCTGTGTAGACAACCATGTCATATATGAATAGCGATAGTTTTCTTTCTATTTAATCTGTATGCCTTTTACTTCTTTTTCTTGTCATATTTGGATATATGGTGGATATAATTGATAGATGATAACAAACTATCAGATTTCTTTCTGTGTTAACTATAGGGGAAATATATTTAAATAATAGAGGGCTAGTTTTCAAATAAGTTAATCCTCACTTTGCCTGGTACTGTGTTAACTGAAACATGTCCATATTGAAACTGTCCTTGCTTTCTTTGGAACCAAAGCTTTGCAAAACGAAGACATGGTTCCAACATGCATGAGCTTCAGTTAACACAGTGCTTTGTAAGATGAGGACTGCCTCTGTGTACTCTTTTTTTAGCAATAGAGTTTTGCTAAATCCAGATCCTTCTGAGGGATAATCCTTCCCTTTGAATAGTAACCATTTATATTTTTTTTACTGAGAAAGTGTAGGGTTTCTTTTGTTTTAAAGTTACCAGACAAAATGATTAATAAGATAGAAACTGGACAAAAATGAAAGTTTAGAATTTTCTGTGCATTTATTATTTATTGGTTGATTTTACTGATAGCGGTTAATATCTAATTTTATGTTTCCTACTTGGATAAACAAGAAAAAATTAACAATTGACTAGGAATGTTTTCTGTGATGTATGCAATATAATGCCATGTTACATTTTATATTTCCTTAAATTATATACTGGAAAAGCCTTAAAGATATTTTTAGTGTGTTTTTGTTCTTATTTTAGATAATGTGCAAAATGGCTCCCATGGTTGGGAAGGATATTACAGAGCGTCTTATCCTGCCTAGGTTTTGTGAGATGTGCTGTGATTGCAGAATGTTTCATGTTCGAAAGGTATTTTTTACAGTCAGTTTTTTTTCCTATTTAGAAACACATAGTTTTAATGGTTAATGTATTGATATGTGAAATTTAAAAGGTTATTTTTTAAAAACTATATATAATGTTTTGAAATGTCAATGATGCTTTTGTTGACAGGTCTGTGCTGCCAACTTTGGAGATATTTGCAGTGTAGTTGGCCAGCAAGCTACTGAAGAAATGTTGGTAAGTATCACAGATATAGAGGAGTAAGCAGGGCCAGGCGCGGTGGCTCACACCTGTAATCCTAGCACTCTGGGAGGCCAAGGCGGGCAGATTGCTCGAGGACAAGAGTTCGAAACCAGCCTGAGGAAGAGCGAGACCCCGTCTCTACTATAAATAGAAAGAAATTAATTGGCCAACTTATATAGAAAAAATTAGCCGGGCATGGTGGCGCATGCCTGTAGTCCCAGCTACTCGCGAGGCTGAGGCGGGATTGCTTGAGCTTAGGAGTTTGAGGTTGCTGTGAGCTAGGCTGACGCTACGGCACTCACTCTAGCCTGGGCAACAAAGTGAGACTCTGTCTCAAAAAAAAACGAAAACTAAGGAGTAAGCAATGTAGTACATAAAGTTTGAAATGCATACATTTACCCCAAAATTTTATTAACACAATTCCATGAATAGAAACCAGAAAGAAAATAATAACTTTGAATTTAGAGGTTTAAATTTCTGTAATCTGGACACTTGAATTGTGTTTTGATAAAGACAGTTTATTAAAAAATATATATATGTGTCAGAACCACTGATCTTTTTTTACCTCTTCCATTTCTCTGAATCAAATCAATTGTTTCTGCAATTGAATTTTTAATTTCATCACAACCTTCACATATTTTGGTGGCATATTAAATCTATAGCAGGTTAGTTTTAAATAGTATGTGGGATATATATGGTTGATATACAAGTAAACATACTGAAAAAGTTTCAAAACTGTCTGTTATGCAAAATAATGAAGTTTAGGTACAATCTCTTGAACAACATTTAAACTATTTGTTGGGAGTGTTTTTGCTTTTGCATAGTCAATTCTGTTATGAATTAGAAGTGATTTATTAAAAAGTCTGAGTATTAATACTAAATAAATCTTCTACTTATTAAGAAAATCCAATGTTTAAAACTCTGTGAAAGCAGAAAATGTGCCAGGTGTGGTAGTTCATGCCTGTAATTCTAGCACACTGGGAGCCTGAAGCAGGAGGCTTGCTTGAGGTCAGGAGTTTGAGACCAGCCTAAGCAAGAGCGAGACCCCATCTCTACCAGAAATAGAAGAAATTAGCCAGGCGAGGTGGTGTGCACTTGTGTTCTGCAGCTGAGGCAGGAGGATTGCTTTTGCTCAGGAATTGGAGGTTGCGGTGAGCTGTAATGGCGCCACTGCACTCTACCCAGGGGGACAGAGTCTGTCTCAAAAAAAAAAAAAGAAATCTCTGTGAAAGCAGAAAATGAAAGAGAAATAACTACTGGAACTACTGTCTTTGACTAACAAAATTCTTTCCTTCTTACATAGCTACCCAGATTTTTTCAGCTTTGTTCTGATAATGTATGGGGAGTCCGGAAGGCTTGTGCTGAATGCTTCATGGCGGTTTCATGTGCAACATGTCAGGAAATCCGACGGACTAAATTATCAGCACTATTTATTAATTTGATCAGTGATCCTTCACGTTGGGTATGATTTTAATTATCATTTTGGTAAAATAATTCATTTGAATCTGTTTTAAAGTGAACATAATTTTGACTTCATAATTTAAGAAATAATTTATAACTTTTAAGATATATTATTCATACATTTAGGAGTAGACTGTAGAAAGACTACTATATTAACTTTTTTGTAACTGGACAAAATTTCTTTATAAATATAAATCTTTTTTCTATTGGCCGGATATATTACATTAATCTATTTTTAGATGTTAAACCAACCTTGCATCTTTGGAACAACTCCCACTTGATCATAGTGTGTAATTATTTTTATATGTTGCTAGATTCAGTTTGCCAGTATTTTGTCAAGGGTTTTTGTATTTATATCTTAAGTGATTTTGGTCTGTAGTTTTCTTAGGATGGCTTTGCCTGGTTTTATTATCAGAGTAATGGCTTCATAAAATGAATTGGCTTCATAAAATTGAATTAGTCTACTTTTCTGTTTTTTGAAAGAATTTATAGAGAGTTGGTATTAATCCTCCTATATATGTTTGGTAGAATTCAGTGGTGAAGCCATCTGGGCCTGGACCTTTCTTTGTGGATAGTTATTTAATTACTAATTCAGTCTCTTCACTTCTCTATTTCTTCTTGAGTCAGTTTCAGTAATTTTTACCTTTCTAGGAATTTGTCCATTTCATTTAACTTATCTAATTTGTTGGTATATGATTATCTATAGAATTCCTATGTAATCTTTTTATTTCTGTAAGGTTGGTAGTTATGCCCCTTCTTTCATTTCTGATTCAAGTAAGTTGAGTCTTGTCTCTTTGTTTCTTGGCCATTCTGGTAAAGGTTTGTTAATTTTGTTGATCTTTTTAAAGAACCAGCTTTTGGTTTCATTGACTTTTTTTTTCTATTTTTGTATTATCTATTTCATTAATTTCCATTCTGACCTTTATTATATTCTCCCTTTTGCTTGCTTTTGGTTTAGTTTGCTCTTCTTTTTCCATTGTCTTCAGGTGGAAGGTTAAGTTATTGATTTGGGGTTTTTCTCCTTTCTTTGAATTACCATCCAGTGTAACTGGCTTTCAACCTAAAGAAGTTCTTTTAGTATTTCTTATAATGTGGGTCTGCTAGTAATAAATTTTCAGTTTTTGTCTGTGAAGGTCTGTTTTGCCTTCAATTTTGAAATGTAGCTTTGCCGAATATGAGATTCTTGCTTGATGTTTTTTTTTTTTCTCTGAGCACTTCGAATATGTCATCCCACTGCCTTCTGGCCTCCTTTGTGTTTGCTGAGAAGTCAGCTGTTAATCTTCTAGGGGATTCCCTTGTAAGTGATGTGTCATTTGTCTTCTTGTTGCTTTCTAGATTTTTTTTCCTTGCCTTTGACTTTGAAAATTTTTACTGTGACAACGTCCATTTGTGGATCTCTTTTAGTTTATCCTACTTGGAGCTGATGGAGCTTCCTGGATTTATAAGTTTTTGTTTTTCAATAAATGAGAAATTTTAAGCCAACATTTCCTCAAATATTTTTTCTTCTCTTTTCTCTCTCTTTTCTCCTATTACTCCCATTATATACATGTTGGTGTGCTTAATGGTGTCCCACAGGCTGGGTGTCGTGGCTCACACCTGTAATCCTAGCACTCTGGGAGGCCAAGGCGAGTGGATTGCTCAAGGTCGGGAGTTTGAAACCAGCCTGAGTGAGACCCTGTCTCTACTAAAAATAGAAAGAAATTAATTGACCAACTAAAAATATATACACAAAAAATTAACCAGGCACTGGTGGCGCATGTCTGTAGTCCCAGCTACTTGGGAGGCTGAGGCAGTAGGATCGCTTGAGCCCAGGAGATTGAGGTTGCTGTGAGCTAGGCTGATGCCACAGCACTCCCTCTAGCCTGGGCAACAAAGTGAAACTCTGTCTCAAAAAAAAAAATGGTGTCCCACATTTCTCTGAGGCACTGTTCGTTTACCTCATATTTTTCCCTTCTCTGTTCTTTGGCTTGTATAATGTGTATTGATCTTCAATAGATCAATTCTTTGTTCTGCCATTTCAAATCTACTGTTGAGCTTATGTAGTAAATTTTTTATTTTAGTTATTGGACCTTTTGACTCCAGTCTATTTGGTTCTTTTTAAATAATTTCTCTTTATTGGTATTATTCTCTGGTTCATGCAGCATTGTCCCCATACCTTCCATTACTCTGTGATCACACTTTCCTTTAGTTCTGTGAACATATTTATAATGGCTACTTTGAAGTCTTTTATTTTCAGTCTGAAATCTGATAACTCTCACGTGTAGTTTCTGATGTGTGATTTTTTTGATAACATGGATTTTTGTTTGTATGCCTTGTAATTTTTTATTGAAAACTGGACATTTTAAACAATATAATGTAGTAACTTTGGTATTGGTTACCACCTCTCCTCCCAAGGCCTATTATTATTTGCTTGTTCATTTAATGACTGGCTTTTGTATACTGCAGTGGAGCCTATTTCCCTCCTCCAGGGGGCATAGCTTTGGGTAAGCCCACAAGTCACCCTGGGATGACAGGAATTTGGTGGGCATGGGAGGGCAGAGCCTGAGGTTCTCTTGGTGGGTAATCACTGCCTTTTGAGCTGGAGCAGCAACTGTAGGGGCCCCAGTATTCTCAGTGTGTCATACCTGAGGTAGAGCCTCTATTCTACAAGTGAGTGTTGGGTGGAAGAAAGGACCCCCAACCTCTCAACTATGGTTGGCCAGGACTTGGCCTCAGCATCAAGAGCTAGGGGCTGGGGAAACAACACAGAAATCCTGTGAGTAGGAGCTGAGGAGAGGGAGCCCTGTGTTCTTGGCTACTGCCATCCTGAGGGGTCTGCACCTCGCCAGGCTGAAAGAATGGTAAGAAGGGAGTGGTTTTGGTTCAGATAACACAGACTCTCAGCTTTTTTATTGAATTTTGGTAGATTTTCTTGAATAGATATTTTTTCATTTGTTGTTTTCTTTTAGGACCATTTCCATAGGCTTTGAATGATTGTTTTATAATTTGCACTTATTTCACTGGGGAGTGAGTCAGCCAAGCTCCTCATGCTGTCATGGCAGAAGTGGGAGATTTCAGGACCATACCGCATTCATTTCCAAATCAAAATTGACACAGGGGGAAAGACTTTTAAGCCGTAGTATTATTTTAATGTTTTTGTAATATTCTGTATAAGATTGTTAGAAAAGATTAACATAGCTTATTTGAAGTTTTTGTTTTGAAACTTGGTCATCATTTTGGATCAGTAACATGCATTATTTGCTGCTAATTTGAGAATATGGATATATTGGTCATTTTAGTTTTCTCTCAGTATCTGGGGAAGATTGGTTCCAGGACTCTCTGTGTATAACAAAATCTGAGGATTCTCAAGTCCCTTATATAAAAAGAACATAATATTTTCATATAACTTACACATGTATATTTTAAATCAATCTTTTGATTACTATAATACCTCATATAGCGTAAATGCTATATAAGCAGTTGTTACACTGTATAATTTAGGGGATAATGAAAAGAAAAATATCTACATGTTTAATACAGATGCAACAGTTGTGAGCCTAACTGCATTTTCAATCTGCAGTTGGTTAAATCCATGGAGTCCATGCATACAGAGGGCTAACTGTATATCCTCTGCCTATTTGAGAGAGATACATGTACACACACTTTATATGTCAATCCTATGCCTATTTAGGTACAAAAGAAGGAAAGAGAAGATAGACTTCTGTCAGAAAAAGGTTAAGTTGTTTGGGGAAGATTAATCTACTGGACTATCTGTTCTCAAAAGTTAAGATTGAATTGAAAGTTAATTTTATTTCTGAAATTCTTTAATATTTATTCTTTGAGTGACTTGTGGATTTTTTAGTGGTTTTCAGAACCTTTGTTTAAAATCATTAGTTACTTCCCTAGCACTCTGGGAGGCCGAGGCGGGCAGATTGCTTGAGGTCAGGAGTTGGAAACCAGCCTGAGCAAGAGCGAGACCCCGTTTCTACTATAAATAGAAAGAATTAATTGGCCAGCTAATATATATAGAAAAAAATTAGCAGGGCATGGTGGCGCATGCCTGTAGTCCCAGCTACTTGGGAGGCTGAGGCAGCAGGATTGCTTGAGCCCAGGAGTTTGAGGTTGCTGTGAGCTAGGTTGATGCCATGGCACTCACTCTAGCCTAGGCAACAAAGCGAGACTCTGTCTCTAAAATCAAATCAAATCAAATCAAACAATTAGTTACTTAAAGTTATTGGAACTAGCAAAAATAATAGCTTAAAATCACTTCATTTTGAGGAGTAGCTCAAAGTAGAAATGTTTTTGTAGTGTTAGAAAATTACTCAGTTATATGCAGTGGGATGTATTAGTTAAGGAACTGAGATTCTAGTCCTGTTCCCACTGTAATTACGAGTGGCATTAAGGAAATCATTGTATTAATATTTGGATTTCGGTTTCTGTTTTTGTGAACTCAAGGAGGTAGATTAATCTTTAACCGTGTGATTTAATTAACTCTTGTTAGACACCCTTAGGTGATGTTGCTTCTCCACATTAATCTCTTTTCATTCTAATCTAATGACAGAATAAATGTATCTAATGATTTAAATAAGTTTTATATGTTCTTTATTGGAACACACTCAGAGATTTAATAAGATCTAGAGAAGACTAAACTCATGCAATATAATTTAAAAAATGACCTTTTATGTTTTTATGGAAGTAATGTTTGTTGATTTATAAAGGGGAAGAAAAACCCTAAATTTGCAAGCTGTTCTTTTCTCTGTCATCTATTCTAACCGTTTTTTTAAATCTGTTGAACCATTTTGTATATGATTTTCCAAGTAGGTAAATACAAATAATAGATATGTTCTACATTTATTTGCCTTTGTAAAAATACGCATATTATATAACCCTTATTTTAAAACTTGCAAAAGATATGGTTATGTTGCTTTTTAGAAAAAGAATGCTGAACATCAGAGAAATTGATTTGTGACAAAGTCAGGGTTTTAGTAACATACCAGTTTGTTTGTCAAGATCGCCTTTGTTGGATTGTGTCTATGCTTCCCTCCTTTCATAAGACTTCTCCTTTTTCAATGTTTTGTTTTTTAAAAAATCTTGATTTTAAAAAATAATATAAAAATACAACATGAAATAAAATTCTGTTATCTCCTTTTAACTCCTCCTACATAAGATAGTCATTGATTCATTGATCACAGTAATACATGTTTTCAGATCTTTGTGACATATAATTTAGTCAGTATTATATTTCTGATGGATATGCATGTAGTTCTGGTACATCTGCCTTGCCTTCATATAGTAAAAAAATTACAATCTTTTTTACCTGAAAACATTACATATATTTATAATCACATTTTATTGACTTTATTGCTCTATATCTTTTGTTTGGCATTCTTGGTTTTCTGCATTCTTTTTGTTCTTGAGTATACAACAACAGGACCTTCTTTAGTTCTATGCATATGTTTAATGGGATCTCATAGTCAGATTATTATGGTTTAAATTTTAAAGCCAGAATAAAAACAATTGAAAGTAAATAAGAAAAATAGTTTATAGAGATTTTTAAATCATAACTGTAGAATGATTTAAAGTTTTTTTTTTCTTTTTAATCTTAATCCTATGCACAATAGGTTTATAGTTCTGAATGTGGGTTTCTTTTAGAAAAGCTTGAGTATTATCTTAAACATACTTTTGGTATATGGAAAATAGATTATTAAATATATATAAATATGTGTGTTTAAATCCTTTTTAAAATGTTTTATTATTGGCCGGGCATGGTGGCTCACGTGAACCTGTAATCCTAGCACTCTGGGAAGCCAAGGTGGGTGGATTGCTCAAGGTCAAGAGTTCAAAACCAGCCTGAGCAAAAGCGAGACACCGTCTCTCCTAAAAATATATATAGAAAAAATTAGCTACGCATGGTGGCACATGCCTGTAGTCCCAGCTACTGGGGAGGCTGAGGCAGGAGGATCACTTGAGCCCAGGAGTTTGAAGTTGCTGTGAGCTAGGCTGACACCTTGCCACTCTAGCCCAGGAAACAGAGTGAGACTCTGTCTCAAAAAAAAAAAAAAAAGTTTTATTATTGTCTATTTTTTCTTCCTAGGTTCGCCAAGCAGCTTTTCAGTCTCTGGGACCTTTCATATCTACTTTTGCTAATCCATCTAGCTCTGGCCAGTATTTTAAAGAAGAAGGCAAAAGTTCAGAAGATATGTCAGCAGAAGACAAAAATAGGTACAATTTTAAAACTTTGTTTTCCTGTTCTACTGCTCGTGCACATCATTTCTACTATTTTACAATAGATGTTCTTTGTGGAGAGTTTACTATTTCTCTTGAGTATAAAAATAGGTAAATATTTTTCTAGAGTTTTATTTTACATACATACAAATTAAGCATCTTTTTGGTTAGTTACATGCTGAATGAGAAGATGTGTGTAACATGCTTGACTTGATGCCTAACACATAGAAAACTCTAATTGGTAGATTCTATGATATTGTGCTAAGTTTAAGAAATTATTAATATTTATCCAGTAAACCATCTGTTGATATTTAGAATATATGGGTAATTGTTACACAATGTATAAGGTTTGTTTTTTTAAAATTCATTTTTAAGGAGTAAAACCTAAGTTGGGATTATGTTTGTTTCATTTTTCTTTCCAGTCAAATAATTCAGTTGTGGATCTTGGGGTCTTTGTCTACAGAATGATGACTGTAATCTCTCAATTGGGGGGAACCCATGTGAATGATTAGTATCAACTTAGTGTACTTATTAGCTAGTATGTCAGTTTTAAGTGTATTAGTCTTGATAGGGCAACCAAATTTTTAAATAAAGCTTAAAGAGCCAACTCTGATTTTTTAAAAAAATTCTTGCATTAAAAAATTTCTGTTAGATTTTAATTTTTAACATTTATCGTCAGGCCGGGCGCGGTGGCTCACGCCTGTAATCCTAGCACTCTGGGAGGCAAAGGTGGGCGGATCGCTCGAGGTCAGGAGTTCAAAACCAGCCTGAGCAAGAGCGAGACCCCGTCTCTACTATAAATAGAAAGAAATTAATTGGCCAACTAATATATATAGAAACAATTAGCCGGGCATGGTAGTGCATGCCTGTAGTCCCAGCTACTTGGGAGGCTGAGGCAGGAGGATCGCTTGAGCCCAGGAGATTGAGGTTGCTGTGAGCTAGGCTGATGCCACGGCACTCACTCTAGCCTGGGCAACAGAGTGAGACTCTGTCTCAAAAAAAAAAAAGAAAAACATTTATCATAATATATACTTAAAGGAAAAATGATTCAAATCTAACTTAGTACATGGGAATGCGTACACACTTTTACAGTTATGCATTTGAAATAATTTTAGTACATGTTTTTGAAACAGTCCCTACTGTAATGTTTGAGTTACCATAGTGTCTTCTCCCTCCCTTGTCATGATGCTAATGGACATTTTCTTCTATAGGTCTTGATACTGTGATATTTGCTTTCTTGGTGTTTTGATTTGGCAGTTCTTCCTTTCTTCTCTGCTGCCTTGTTTTACCTTTTTGCCTGTTCTCCTACTGTCCTGCTGCATAGCCAATCAAACCTGAGGTACTGTTTTTTGTAAAGGAAGAAAAATCACTCAACCCTGTCTTCCTAGCAAACAAAGTCTATCAGTTCTTCTGAAAGAACTGCTGCAAGGAGTTTGACAAAAATTATTATGGGGAGGGGGGATGTGATCTATTTTCATTTATTAAGTCAGCATACTTTTTTTTTACTATCCATTTAAATGTACTGAAGATTGTTACATAACTTTTATTTATTTTTAAATCTGGAAAGGGTCTAGTAAGTGAAAGTATAAATTTACAGAGAATTATATAAGACAGAGGTCAGCAAACTTTCTGTTCTCTATCACAGCTGCTTAGTTCTGCCATTGCAGCGTTTGAGCAGCCATAGACATTACATGAATGAATGGCCATGGCTGTGTTCCAGTAAAACTTAATTAACGAAAATATTTGATGTGGCTATCAAGGCTGTGTTTGCTGACTACTGGTATATAGCATTATTGGAAGAGCTATTTAAAGGTAGTTTAATTCTTAATTCTTCTTCCATTATAATGAGATATATATGTATTAATTTCTATGTAGATGCTATTTGTAGCATTGGACTTCACTATATTATTAGACTTTATTGAATTATGTTAATGGTATGGTAGAGGGAAGACAGAATTTAAGGAAGGAGTTCCATTAAATATTGAAAAAGCTTTTATATAGTTTGATTTCCTACTTTTATGAAGAAGTAGTCCTATATATTATTAAATATCAGCACTATTTGTTTGTTTGTCCTCCCTTGAGTACCATACTGTCTTTTGTTTTAAGCAGTCTTAAAACTGTTGCGTTATTTAAGATTGATGGATTATGCAAAAATTAACTGAGCACCTACTATGAACCAGAAACTGGAGAAGGAAAGATAGAACTCAATTCCTATTGTCAAGGTTCTCTAAGTTTAGAATTAAGATTTCTCAAACAAATACCTTACAAAGTAAAAGCAAGTTTTTAGCAATATATTTCCACTACTGTTTATTTATTGTATAGTGTTTCATCTGACCCTGGAAACATTTACTATCATTTTAATACTCTATGAAGCATTTATTGATTATAAACATCTGACTTATATATTAGATTTATATTTTACTCTCCCTGGATCAGGCTATTAATACTTCTTTGAAAGTGGTGATAAAAGCTACTTCCAGAAGCAGGATGAAACATGCAAATTGGCATTTAAAAAGTTTATAAAATAAACATTTTCTTATACTTAATGAAACAATTATATTGTTCTTTGAATGTACTGTGCTCTTTTGGTTCTCCCTGTTTTTTGCGCTTGCTGCTCTCTGGAAAGCGTCTTGTTTCATCATTTGACAAAGTGAATGTCAGCAAGTTTGCTGTCTCGAATCACTACCTCCAGGAATCCTTTCCTGACTTTTCCAGGAAGTTCAGAGCTTTTGTCTTTATTGTCAGTAACACTGGAATTAGAGCACTAATTTTTAATCATATCTTTTATGTATTTGCATATATAACCCTGTAGACTCCAAATCCATCTAGTGTAGCAGTCTAGTTTTTATCTTTATTTATACTAATACCTCCATTGTGCTTGGTACATAGTTGGCACATAATACATCTTGAATAAATTATTCTAAGGAAATATGGATTTGATCTCAAAAACCCAAAGTAACTGAACTACCTATGCTGGGTTTTGTCAGTTCAGCTTAATGCTAACTATGTGAAAATAAAATCGATAGCACAAATTTGGAAGTATTTCACTAATGTTAAAACTTCATTTAGTTAATTCATAGGACTTAGAAGATGTATCCTAGAGAGTTTTCTTTGCTTTCATTTCAGGATACAGTGCTTTTTAAACCAGATGTTCATTCTGTAAGTCATTTTCTCCATGAAATACCTAATTTTCTAGACCCATTATCTGTATTCAGAGACTCTGAGGATATTAATTGTAAATTTAGGCAGGAAAAGAAACTTAAGGTTCACTTTAATTAGGTTCTCTTTTGTGTATTCTAAGTGGAAATTTCTTAAATTTTTCAAGACAGTAGATGAAACCTTACAGGTTTTACCCATTTGCTCCTCCTTCCTTGCTGAACAATATCTTATTATTAACATTTTTAAAATTTAGTTTGAATGATTTCAGAAAAATTATAAAAATACCACAAAGAATTCCATATGTCCTTCATATATCCTTCATCTAGATTCTCCAGATACTAACCTTTGACTATATTTGTTTTATTTTATTCTTTTTATTTTTTGAACTCTGAAAATGTTTTAGGCATGATTTTTTTTAACCTTTCTTATTACTTCACTGTGTATTTCTTTATTTTTGTTTTTATTTTATTTAACTTTTTAATTTATTTTTGAGACAGAGTCTCAACTCTGTTATCCCGGCTAGAGTGCCGTGGCATTAGTCTAGCTCACAGCAACCTCCAATTCCTAGGCTCAAGTGATCCTCTTGCCTCAGCCTCCTGAGTAGCTGGGACTGCAGACATGCGCCACCATGCCCGGCTAATTTTTTCTAAATATTTTTAGTTGTCCAATTAATTTCTTTTTATTTTTAGTAGAGACAGGGTCTCGCTCTTGCTCAGTCTGGTCCTGAACTCCTGAGCTCAAACGATTCACCCGCCTCGGCCTCCCAGAGTGCCAAGATTACAGGCGTGAGCCACTGTGCCCAGCCACTGTGTATTTCTTTAAAACACAGGTGTTAATACATAACTGTAGTCCAATTACCAAAATTAGGAAATTAACATTGATACAATACTGTAATCTAATCTGTAGATGTTATTCACATTTTACCAATTAGCCTACTAATTTTCTTTATAACAAAAGGAAATAAAATGATATACTTTTTAATAAGAACAAAATGGGCAATACATAATTCCTATACATATAGAAGGTACATTTATTTTGTATAACAGCACTAGCTTCAAGAGCTTCTTTGGAGGGAAAATGATCTTATATAGGTTATCTTTATCAACCCCTCATTTTTATGAATAAGGAATAAATGAGAAATCTTAGAAGTCCCTGAGAGGCTCAGAGTTTTATATAAATGCCAGTTCTGGGTGAAGAACTTATAGTCCAGTGTTTTCACAGTTGTAAAACAATTGTGTTGTATGTACGTACCATGTATTTTGTAGTTACAAGAATGAAAGAGAAATATCAAAACTTAAAATGCTATCACTGTGTGCTATGTTTTCAGATGAGTTATTTTTGGTTACCTGTATTTCTTAAAAAATAATGTTTGCGAAAATATGGTTTTAAAAATGAACATTACAATGAACATTACTATGTATATGGCTATTTCACTGGGAACTTACATAGGTGTTAACATCACCCTCCTTTTGCACAGTCCTTATAAGCCTCCCGTTAAATATCTTTTATTGTGTATATTTAAAGGCACATAACGTTTTAAGGACACACCCTTCATTTTTTCCCTGTATTCACCTTACAAATTTACGTACATATTCATACATCCTTATTTCCCTTTCATGTTCCTTACACAGGTGTCTCCTTACCTGTGTAATCTGTCCCCTTGTGTTCTTGAAGCCAGTATTCTTTCTTCTCTGAAAAACATTGCTTTATCAGTTACTCTGTCTCTCCACTTCCTTCATCTCTTCTAACCTCTTTTCCTCTGGCTAAATCTATGCATGTTTTATACTCTGGTTTCTCTTCAGATGGTATAAATCTTTCACCTTTTACTAAGGATTTCTATGGAGAGGAACAATTCTGAGTCTTACCCCAATTTTTTGAGGCCTCACATCTATCTGCAGGGAAAAAAAAAAAGAAAAAAATATGTTCATTTTTACCACCTTTCATACAAGAGAAATGCCTTCATTCTTTGTTGTTTATGTGATTGTCAGTTTTTCTTTATTAATATTTCTTGCCTAGCACACATTTCAGCTCTACAAATCTTTCTGAGCTGACGACATCTCAGTCTGTCTCAGTTTCTACCTCTCCCTGGTGTTTGACCAAGTCGTCATAGACGTCACCCTATAGAATCCAACATAGATACCCTAACTTACCCTTATCTGAACCTGAACCCATTAGTTCTCATTAAACTCTTCTTGCATTTTTCACTCTTAGTTGGTGCTGCCAGCATCAACTGCCAGCATTCAATTGCCCTAGCCAGAAATCTGTAAATCTTTCCAGATTCCTCCCTTTGTTTCTCACCTCCAGCATGCAATGAGTGAAAATGTCCTATTGATTTTGTCCCCATTTCAGTGCATTTACTTCTTATGTAGCCCCAAAGACACTACCTTCATCATAACATCATCTCTCACCTTCACATCTGTAATTCCTGCTTTCTCTCTTACCTCCAACTCATTTTCTACAACTCATTTTCTACACTGCTTCCATAATGGTCGTTAAAAAACAGCAGATCTAATAATACCGTTTCCTTAATTCCTATATGATTTCTTGTACCCTGGGGTAAATTCCAGAGGTATATAGGTGTGGATTACCATGTTTCCTGGGACATCTTTCATCCTTGTCATCATCATTCCCTTCTTTTAGCTACAGTAAACTCACTGATGCTTTCTGAAGGCATCATACCTTTCTGGCACTCTTGCCTTGGTGTGTGCTATTTCTCCTTTGGTTGCTTTTTCTTCACCTTTGCCTCATAAATATTTATTGGTTCTAAATATAACCTGCCATTTCCTCTAAAGCCTTTTAATCTCCACACTCATCTCTACCTCCCATGTTCCATGTGCATACATGTGTACTTACCACTCTGTCTGGCAGTGATTTGCTTATGTATTTGTTTTTCCTGTTTGCTTCTAATTATAATCTCGAGCAGGATCCACATCTCATTCACATTTGAACCCTCAATACTGATTCATTTCTTGGCTCTTAGTAGGTGCTCAATAAATGTTTGTTAAATTTAATTGAGTCAGGTAAAATATAGGAGATAGACAATAAAATGTTATTATAGTGCTTTAGTTTAGATAATGCCATAATCAGTGGACTTGAATTAGGAACTTGTACCCTCTGTCTTTACCACTTAAGCCATGACTTCATTTTGGGAAAACCTTTGGGAGTAGAGATGATTATTGTGAAAGAAATAAAGATAAACTTTTATTTACACTTAAACATATTTTAATATGTTTTGTGAGCTAGTGAATAAGTTTTCTTCTGTTGTGTAAAGTTTTTCTTTTTGTCTTTTTTTTTTAATGTAAGCAAATAGCTTTAATTCTCAGCTTTTCAGTATGTCTTTAGAGCAGAGTGGCAGTACAACTCATCCTAAAAATCAAATAATTTAAAAATTGTATATACCTTAAAATGCATTGTAGGAATTTCTTTTCCTACTATTTTTCTTTAGTTATTATTGAAATTAGCACAGTGTTTTAGAATCCCAGGATTCTTAAATGTTATGTTCTCCAACTAATATATATTGCTTGAATATCTAGACATATGCTTAACTGGTATTTACATCTCTGAACACAGAACAACTGATGGAAAAAGAAGCATTATAAATACTATACATATTGTACTGCTCAGTTTGTATGGATAATCTGTAATTTTTAATGTTTAACTCGTTTAAATGCTGTATGTAATATCTCTTCATTGATTTTTTTTTCAGTAATTATTTTTATACTTTCATGTTTTCCCCCTCCCCAAATGAAACAATAAAAGGATCAGAGATCAAGAAGTCCCAGAGGATGTACAAATCAGGCCAGAGGATGTTCCTTCGGATCTCAGTGTTAGTAATTCCAGTGTCAAACTGGAAAACACAGTGGAAGATAATGCTGCTGAAACATCTAGGGAATCACCAGGTGTGGACAGCTCTTTACTTTGTACTTTGTCCTCAGAATCTCATCAGGAAGCAACTAGTAATGAGAATGATAAAAAACCTGGAAACTACAAATCTACATTACACCCAGAAGTTGGCACCAGTTCACAAGATTCAGCTCTCTTAGATCAGGAATTGTACAACTCCTTCCATTTCTGGAGGACTCCTCTTCCTGAAATAGATCTAGATATAGAGCTTGAACAGGACTCTGGGAAAACACTCAGTCCAGAGAGGCCAGAGAAAACATCTGAAGTCCCCATGTCAGCTTCTCCAAACATCACCATGGCTACCAGAAAGGAACTTGAAGAAATGATAGAAAATCTAGAGCCCCACATTGATGATCCAGATGTTAAAGGTATGGAAAAATTAATCAAATTCTTTATTCTAAAATTGATAAAAATGTTATTTTCTGGCTTTGAAAATTTTTTGTTTCGTAAAAATTGCTTTCTTTTAAAAATTTATTATGAACATCATGATGCATTCTTAAATCCTCTTAATAAATATGATTAATCTGATTTTTAGGGAATTTCATTTAAGATAGGCTTATCATTGTATTCCTTCCTGTAGAATACACAGATTTGTTAATTTACGAATCACTCTTAGAAATTTTTGGTTATTCAAACAATGTTTTATAATTTTGAATCTTGAGCTCTGCCTTAACTATTTTGCTCATTGTCTCATTAGTTTTTTTTTTATAAAATAGCAGTGGATACAATGTTGTTTTTTTAAGTAAAGACTATAGTCTCTTAATAGTGAACAAAGATCTCTATTTTTCTGTGTAATGTGATATTTTAAGAGCTATAGACCTGCAAAAAAAAAAAAAGAGCTATATACTTTTACAAGAGTTTAAGTTTGTTTTTCAGTTTTGACTTTTTTCCATTGGTGACACTTATTTCACCTAGATTCCTTCATTATTAACAATAGTCCTAATGGCTTTCTATCTTAAAATGAAATGTTACCTATTATTAAATGGAGTCTGTGTTCTATGTAAATCAGTTGTTCTGTCTGCTGGAGGTCTCACAGTGCTAGGAAGGCTCATTTTTAGAGCTGTCTGTCTGGTCTTACGCGCTAGGAAGGCTCATACTTAGAGTTGTCTATTTGGCGGTGTTATATCTTAGGGGAGGGACATGACTCTACTTGATTTAATAGCCAATTGTTAAAGGGGACCAGATAGGCCTCGGGCCTACTCTGAAAAAACGTCTTGAACCAGATTTGTTTTGCGAGCTATTATGATCTGGGCCTTTGATTGTTTTTTTTCCTTTTCCTGTATCTGGTATAGCATTTACAGGAAACATAATAAGAGTCATAGGTAGAATCAGAAGGTAGCAAGCAGCTTAACCAGCCAAAAAAATCTTTTGCATGCATTATTATATTCTTTAATCAGACTTACAGTATGTTTACCTTCTTTATTAATAGTCAATTGAACTTTATGGTAAATTTTATTTGAGGATTGTAAAACTGATACCAATTCAGAATCTAATTAATTTTTCCTCTGGCCAATTAGTCTCTATAGGTATAACATTCTGAGGAGGGTATAAATTGAATGAGAAACATTTGATCTTTAATATTTTAAAGGCAAAGCTATAAAACTAATTTACTTATAATTTATAGCAAAATATAAGCATTATTAACATTTAAGCTAAGGAAATTTAGTAATTTATAGTAAGGTGGCTGATAAATTACTCATATTTCCTTTTGGATAAATCCATAACTGATAAAAATTATACTTAGTAAGTTTTAAGTCTATAGGAAGCAGGAAAAAACTTATGATTGGGATGGATATCTGCAGCATGTGGCCTGAAAAGACAAAGTATTTTATTTAGTATTTTTTTAGGCTTTTGTGTGTCCCTCTTTCATCTGGAGGGTCTAAACTAATTCTATTCCTCAGAAATGGCCCTTATAATTTGGCATGCCCCCCTCTTCCGCGATATTCTCTGGGCTTAGAGGGAGGACATTTGAACAGGGCTTTGGCAACTTTTATGGTTTTAAAGGTCCTAGAGATCAGGTGAACTTGCTAATTACTTAAAATTTGTCAGGACTCTGGAAAACAAAACAAAAGAATTAGTAGTTCTGTCTCATGGGGTTTGGTCATATCAGATTTTTAATTAAAGTTAAAGTCTTGGAACTTTGTTTTGTTTTAGTCCAGTGGTATATATAATTTCCAAAGTTATTAGAAGCCAGTATTTAAGTGGATTTGTCAGTCCTTCTATGGCCTTTACTTGAAGAAGCCAATTTTAGACTTAGCCAGAAAGAACCACTTTCTGATATGAATTAAAGTAAAATAATAACTTCAAAGATAATAAAACTTTACCAGCCATGGTTACAGACAGTTGACAAACCAAATTGGTTATTTTGTGACATATAGCAATTTACACAATAACCATAATTATTACTAATAACACATACCAAGACATGTCAATATTTTATAATACTAGTATATTAATAACATACTTTATAAGTACAGCCCATTTTATATTTGACAATGTTCCCTGGATAGTTTTGACACATTAAATAAATCTAAAGTCTGTCTTAGACTTTTAGTGATCTTAATGTATAAAAAGCTAGTTTAAGGTCAAAAGGCTGGATTTAGAATTAAGTTTTAGAAAGTTTGTCAAATATTAAAGGCTTAAAGCATTTGTTCATATATAATCACAAACCACCATAAAATAATTTAACAAAGAGAGAGATAGACATCAAATAAATCTAAAGGTGATAAAGTTATATGGATATATATCTTAACCCTTTTTTAGTTTTTTTTTTTTTTTTTTTTAGTTAAAACCTAATAAAGAGGCCGGGCGTGGTGGCTCACGCCTGTAATCCTAGCACTCTGGGAGGCCGAGGCAGGCGGATTGCTCAAGGTCAGGAGTTCAAAACCAGCCTGAGCGAGACCCTGTCTCTACCATAAAAAATAGAAAAAAATTAATTGGCCAACTAATATATATAATATAAAAATCAGCCGGGCATGGTGGCTCGTGCCTGTAGTCCCAGCTACTCGGGAGGCTGAGGCAGGAGGATCGTTTGAGCCCAGGAGTTTGAGGTTGCTGTGAGCTAGGCTGACACCACGGCACTCATTCTAGCCTAAAAAAAAAAAAAACCTAATAAAGAGAGCACAGGGATTATCTGACATAGCATAAAATGTTTTGGTTTTTTTTTTTAGGCCAATTACCAAAATTAAACAAAACCCTTTTGTGTACTACATTACTTCTTATATTAAAAGGAAAAAAACATGTTATAGAATCAAAAATTGAGTACACATCATGTCATTTCATTAAGAGTAAATATTGACAGAAATTTTTGTTTTAGCTAAAATTCTTTTTAATATTTTGTTTTATAAACTTTATCCTCACCTGCACGTACCTTACACCATCTACAAAAGATACCTTAAAACTTTCGAATTTGCCCTAACATTCTCTTTTCTTAAATAACCAGTCATTTTAGGACAAAAATTTTATGCAAGATCCTTTTTTTAAATTATTCTTTTTGTTTAACCTTTCTTACCAAAAATATATTTTTATATTGATTGCCCCTTTACATCTTTTTCTTACACAAGTGGAGTTTTGTTTTTTAATTTTTTTAACTTATTTTGATTTGATCCTTAAATAACCTTTGAATTAGACAAAGTTATATTATTTTAATAAGAACACATTTTATTTTATAATTTTTTTTATTGAAAAATCTTATTTTTCTTTTTTTGGTACACTATATAGAATTACACAGTAACTTTAAATTTTAGTGAAAGCTTAAAAAGTAGAAAGTCATGAATTGTTTATAAGACACTTGTCATGAAACAAGATTGTAGGTTACTATGAAATTATAGCCAAATTAATAATTTAAATATATATTTTTTAATGCCAAAATCCTGGGGTTTTTTTTTTTTTTTGAGAAAGGAGACTCAGTGTCTCAAACAAGACCTAATAGACAGATTGCAGTACAAGTTAATAAGGAAGCTGAATCTGTGCTTTTCTTTCCCTTCCTTTTTGCAGTTTATTAAAAGGTGAATAAAGAAATCTTTTACTATTAATATTATATGACAATCTAGTTTAAAAGAGAAAACCAAATTTCATTGTATTAGTGTATTAATGATCAAAGTTAATTTTAATAAAATCTTATAAACAAATTCTTCAAATTTTAAACAATTTGACTATAAGTTAAGACTTTTATAAACCTTTGATAACCTTTAACTTTTATATCTACTTAACTTTTAATGATCATTTACATATTGAATAAGTAGTTTCAAAAACCAATAAATTAAACAAAATAATGGACTTAAACAGAACTCTAGAACAGATGGGCCTGACTGACATTTACAGGACATTCCACCCCAAAACCACTAAATATACGTTCTTCTCATCAGCTCATGGGGCGTTCTCTAAGATTGACCATATCTTAGGACACAAAGCATGTCTCAAACAATTAAAAAAAAAATAGAACATATATCATGTCTCTTTTTAGATCACAATGGAATAAATGTAGAAATCAACCCTAACAGGAGCTTTTATTTTTACACAAAGTCATGGAAACTAAACAACCTTCTACTAAATGATTATTTTATAAATGAGGAAATTAAGATGGAAATCAAAAGATTTTTTTTTGAACTAAATGACAACATAAGTTATTAAACACAAGTTAACAAAACCTGTGGGACACAGCTAAAGCAGTCTTTAGAGGAAAGTTTGTTTTTATAAATGCCTATAAACAAAATTATTTTTTAACAAAACTAATACTTACGCTGTATAACATTTTATTAAAAGAATTTTTGTATAGAGTTGTTTTTCTTTTATTTAGAAGTTTTAATTATACGTACTAATTATAATGTCAACTCTTAGAAAAACTTAGGAAGTTAAGGCAACTTTGCACTGTTAGTCACCATTGTATTAGTATTTTTAAATATAAAGCTATGAAGGTATAAACTTAAACTTATATTTAAGAACTGATGTTTTAGTATTTTACCTTATAAATGACCTATTTTATTTTTTTTTTTAAGACAACATGTTGTGTCCCATAAATGACCTATTTATAAAGGACATATAATGACATTTTATGATTATCTTTTTTTTAACTTAATATAATGCCTTTAAGATTTTAAATTACATGAAAACTTTATTTGTATTTATTGCATTTACTTAATTTATCTATATTAGCAGTTTACTTAGATCTTAACTATTAAAAGTTTAAGTTACTTCATTAACCATTTTTATACTCTGTAAATTAGATATATATAACAGAACATGGATTAAAATATAAATTTAAATTTTATCAGAAACAATAAGCATTTTAATAAGACTTGTTATTTTAAACAAATGTAACATTGTTTCTAAATTTTGTAAACATAGTAGTCATTTTAGAATATTTTGT